ACTCGGCCCGAAATTAGCACTAATGCTTATTAAAAAGTTTTCGGAACACTATCCGCCAATGGCCAACAAAAGAGCAAACTTTTTAAATATATATATTATAAATAATAATGTCACAAGCCGTTGCCGCTGGCGCTGCAGCGCCTCGCAAGGAGGTAACCGGACTGCATCGCATGACCCAGCAAGGATTACGAGAACTGTGCAAAAAGGATAAACTATATCAGACGCCGCGTCTTAACGATGTACTCTACTTGCACTATCAGGGTAAACGAGGGGATCAATAGGATACTAACTAAAATTAACTTTCTATTCAATTTCGCATCATATTGCAGGCTATCAGTATATCGAGTGCCTGGATGAGTATACGGAACTCAAGTGCCTGTGGCTCGAGTGCAATGCCATCTCGGAAATCGAGGGCCTGGAGAAACAGAGCAAGCTGCGCTGTCTCTTTTTGCAGAATAATCTTATTAAACGCATCGAGAACTTGGGCTCATGTCCATTACTGGATACGCTGAATCTTAGCTCAAATCACATACGCTTAATTGAGAACATCGGCACAGATGTACTGCCCGTCTTGAATACCCTTAACATATCGTCCAACTATTTGAAGGACAGCGAGAGTCTCGCTCGTCTGGTGGACTGTAAGACCCTGGCCGTGCTAGACTTGTCCAATAATCGCATCGATGACATTTTGGTGGTTAAGATCTTCGAGAAGATGCCCTGTTTGAAGGTCTTAGTGCTACACGGAAATCCTGTCGTTTCACGTTTACCACAATATCGTAAGACTTTGATTCTAGCCTGTGTGAGTATGAATGATTTTTTTTTTTTTTTCAATAGTTTATGATAGTTACAAAGCTAGAAATATGTTGCATATTCATAAATGCCACTAAAAAATAATTTTAAAGAAAATTTTATATAAAAATTTGTTTATTAAATTAAAATTTTTGTTTGCTAAACTTTTAAATATATTTTATCTAATTTGTAATCTCCCACACCCCCAGAAAGAGCTAACCTACTTGGACAGTCGCCCTGTGTTTCCACGTGATCGTGCCTGTGCTGAGGCCTGGTAATACATAAATATTATTAAATATAGTATTATTCCAAATGTGAGCTAAAGAAATAACAAATTTGTATTCTTATAATGCAGGAAACGCGAGGGTTACGAAGGTGAGCGAAAGGAAAATAGGCGCTGGAATCGCGCCGATCGTAAAAAAATGCGTGACAGTGTCAACTGTAAGTAGATAGATAATATTCGTAATATATTTATGCATAATCTTAAAATTCTAACCTTTTAGACACCATTCAATTGCGTAATCGCCATCGTCCAGCGGATCAGCAAGATGCATTGATTAGCTCAACCGATTCGGAAGCAGAAGCGGAAGCCGATAAAGGCGCTGAAAGGACACGTGTCAAAGCGGATCTAGAATACGGCTGTGTGGATGACATATGGAGTGAAGTGTCTGGCGATAATAAGGAGGAGAACGAAAGCACGGACAGTTCACGTATAGCCGATGAGGCTACTGGCTCCCAGGATGAAGAGCTAGCCGAGCATATTAGCAACCGACGAGCAAAGCCTTTAGACGGTCGTCCGAAGGTGCTATACGAATCCCAATTTGCTGACAATGAGGAAGACGCTCAAAAGGAAATCAATAAGGGGCTGGCTGAGGAGGTTGAGAATACTAATGATAATGTGGTGGCTCAAAAGGAAGTCAATGAAACGGATGTGAAAGCTGAGGAAAAACGTGGTGTGAAACGTTTGCTTATAGAGGAAGTTAAGTTAGAACCACTTGATGTGGAGTGCAAGGCAGCTGAAGTGGAGAAAGAACAGGCTGACAAAGCTGGCGAGGCAGTCAAAGCTGACAAAGCTGACGAGGCTATCAAGCATGACGAGGCTAAAGAAGAGGGATCTACAGAAGAAAAGGAAATAAATCCAGAGGTTAAAGAAGCACAAGATGAGCTGAAAAATTTATTAGATGAAGTTGAGTGTAAGGAAATACCATGTATTGTAACTGATGAAGTAGAGGCAAAGCAAATACCAGCCCTTGTAGATGATAAAGCAGAGGATTCAGAGTCTAAGCAAATACCAGCTCTTATAGCTAACGAAGTAGAGCCAAAGCAAATGACAGCAGTCGCAACTGAGCCAGAAAGCGGATCTGAGTTGGATCAAACTGCCAGAGCTGAACTAGATAAATCATGCCAGAAATTAAAAGCTATAGCTTTGAATGAAGGTGGAGATCCAACGCCTGAGCAGATCAAACAGAATGCCATAGACAGAATGTATGAGTCCTATGGAGATGAGATATTTGTCGAGCAGCCCGAGTTCAACAAGGCAATGCTAGAGCCCGAAGAACCCAAAGAACGCCAAGAGCTTAAGGCTGCCAAAAAAGAGTCAACCGGAAATATCACAACAAACAATATAATAAAGACTAAGGAGCAATTGGAATATGAAGCGGAGTGCATAGAGGCGAACGAGATTGTGGAATATAATATGCAAGAGCTGAGCAGTCAAATGGATGAGGACCTGAAGGAGTTGAGCCAGCCTCTGGAGGAAATACGAGCTACGCAGGATGAATTACAAAAGGACGGCAACAACAGTTCCGATGAGGAGAAGGAGCAGGATAAAAAGAAATGCATTGAGCTGACAACAGTGACGCATTCTCTGCGCATCATCGAGGAGTTCAGTGTGCGACGCGAGCGCATTTGCGCCCAGGAGGAAGAGCAACAGAAAGTTCAGATTGAGGAGCTAGAAATGGAGAAGGAAAAGGAAGACGAATTGGATGCGGCGTTTGCCAAGGCTCTGGACTCTTGCACAGATGATGTGCCCATGCGAGTCTTTGGCGAGGGCTGCGATCAGCCCAGCCACGAGTGGCACAAGGAAGAATGTATGCGTCAACTGACCATAACAGAAACTCGAACAGAGCAGCACGAGGATGAGGAGATGTTCAAGGTGAAACCATTGAATGCAAATAGTTGCGCCGAGCAAGCGGAATTAATTTGTGAGGAAATGAGTCAGAAACTGGAGGCCGAAGAGAATTCGCTGCGAGAACTACTGCAGCAGCTAGAGGATGAGACAGATGTCCTATACGACATCACGAGCGCCGTAGAGGACGAGGAGCTCGAGAAGCTGCCGGAGCCACCAGTCGATGAGGTTTGCGCGGCGCTCATCCATGACCTAATCGACGAGCTGCAGTATCAGGAAATAATCAATGGACAGAACATTAAATGCTTTGATTTCGGAGTTATTGAATCGGATGAAGAATATAGCTACTCAGCGGATCCCCAGACTCAATCGATAGTGCCACCCGAGCTGGAGGATCCAGCCGGTGGCAAATCGTTGCGCGAGTGTCTCGATGCCTTCGGCAATTTTCTCACTTCTGTCAAAGAGCGCAAGAAGGAAAGAAAGTTAGATAGAAAGGAGACAAGTAGCTCGGAGAAGGTGAGTGCAGCCAAGGCGCTGCTGAAGTCAAAAATGAAAAATGCCTACATGGACGAAAGTCCCCGGGAGGTCGAGGCACAGCTGGCTAAGCAGGAGGAGAAGCGCAAACGTCGCGTTGCGGCCATGGCTGACCGTTGTTTCTCCAAGCGCGACAGTTACGAAGACACACTCGAAGTTGTGGACAATAAGCTGATGATTGTGAAGAAGGATACCGGCGAGATCCAAGATCTGCCGCCGCCGCCAGCGCTGATTAGTGATACGGAGAGTGAGTCGGACAATGACTCGTCCGCTGGCAACGATCCCGATGCCTACGATACTGCCGAAGAGATTAACGAGAATAAATCAGAAAGCCCAGAGAATAGAAATTTACGCGCTAATTGGCCAAAAGCCGACCCAGCTGAATTGGAGCTAAGCCAGGCATCGTTATCCCTCAAGGATGGGGACGGTGTGGAGGATCAATCAATCGATCAGTTCTATTCGCTGGAAGCGAGAGCCGCCTTTAATTCTTTAGACTCCGAGTTCCTAGACAAATTGGATCTGCAAAAGGTAATCGGCGTGGATGGCGAAATAACTGTGGAGGGCATGCGCAGCTATGACGAGTTGACAGCCGATGATGTAGTACAGAAAGCTGAACATCCTGGGGCACTGGTGAAACAAGATGAAATGCTCAAGGATCTAATCGAACGCCAGCATCTGCAGGAGGAACGCGAACGTCAGATGGAAGAGTTATCGAAGGATTTGGGGGCGCATAAATTGAAGTGTAAATCGATAACAGATCAACTTGAAAGCGAACTTAAAGAGGCGAAGGCTACGACGAATTTCCTACAAATGTTAAACAACTTGGAGTGTCCCAAAGAGGAGGAGTTGGGAGAGAAGAAACCGACAGGAAATTTCCTAAAAATGTTGAACTGGGGCAGTCCAAAAGAGAAAGAGTTAAAGGAGGATGCCATGGAGGAGCAACAGCAGCAGGAGGAACGAGATGAGGAGCTAGACAATGGCCAGGAGTATCCTACCATACAATTAACGCTGGGTGCTTGTAAATTATGCGAAATAAAGAGTCAAGTTGCGAATACAAAAGATGAGGAGGAAGAAGCAGCTGAGAAGGCTAAAGCAGCAGCAGCTGAGGAAAGTGAACTTAAGTTAGAGGAAATAACGGCGAACAGTGAGCAAGTAGATGAGAAAGCTGAGGAAAAATCGAGCAATGAAATGGGTGAAAAGTCAGAAGGTAAACCCACCCCTACTGTCAGTGGCAACATAGATGATGACATTATATCGGATGCATCGACGGACTATGAATCAGGCGAGGATATAGCCGTTGTGGAGCCCCCGCGACTGCCCGAGGGTGCGCTCACTGAATTGTTTAGCAATCAGTTCGACGAGGATGGCCTCAAGCTGGAGCGTGAGAATGAAGAAGCACTGCGTAAAAAACTATTCAGTTTGCCGCTGAGAGCTTGGGCCAGTCACAATTCCATAGATAAAGTCGGAAATATGGCTAAGGAAAAACAAGTTTCCGAATCAGCGGAGACAACTGATGCGGATGATGAAAGCTGTGAGGTGGATGCTGAAAGCTGTGAGGTGGAAGCGAATAAGGAGTCTAAAAAAACTGCAAACGAAGACGATGATGACACGGAATCGGGTGGCGCCATCGACGAGCTGGCGCGCAATGCCAAGCGTCAGTGGGCGAAAATCTCACAGAAATTGAGTGAGTTCATCGAGGCCGACGATCTGAAGCTATTGGACAAGAGTCAGTTCAATGAGGAGAACAGCGATGGCGACGATCAGGAAGATGAGCTGGAGGAGAGTCTGAAAAAACTGAATATTATTTACGAAGAGTGCGAGGCACAGATTAAAAACGCTAGACCCGAATATATGCAAGTCTGGCACGACGAGGAAGAAGAGGCTAATGCACAAGAGATTGAACAAGCACGGCATGATGAAAGGGTTGAGCTAGAAGAGGCTGAAGAGGCAAACGAGCAAGAAATTGAGCAGGCACGGGCTGAAGAAGCTGAAGAGCCAGGAATCGATCTAGACAAGACTCTAGAAGCTAATGAGCTAGAAGAAACTGAAATAGAAAATGAGCAAGAAACTGAGCTAGAAAATATACTAGAAGCAAATGAGCAACAGCTGGAAGAAGAAGAAACTGAAGAGACTAAAAAGCAAGAACTCGAGCAAGGTGAAACTCTAAAAGCTGAAGAGCAAGAGCTTGTCTTAAATGAAACTGAAGAAACTAGAGATCAAGAAGCGAAAGTTGATCATGCCGAAGTCAAAGAGGATAAGCGGAGCACAAATCTAGAGCCAATAGGCGATGACCAGCCGTTGCTCAAGAATCCATCGAAACCCCCCATAATACTTGATTACTTTGAAGATAATACCGATACCGACAGCTTCCATACAATACCCGAACTGAAGACCGAAGAAATTGAATGTAATCTGGAAATACTCGACGATGATGCTATAGTCAAGGAGGTGAGCGTCAATGCCCAGGTCACCTATGAGTTGAAAAAGTAATTGAAATTCATGTTGATTTTAACTAAATAAATGAATAAAATTGTATTATACAATTCAGTGTGTGTTGTTCGACTAGGCACGTGTAGGAAACATTGCGAACCCGAACCCAATGATAACATTTCCCAAGGGAGAGCTGTCCACACGAAACAAAATCCAAAAACTAGTTTGAACCGCCTTAAATAGCAAAAGGCAAATGAAAAGTACAAACCACGTACATGATTTCTAAATATATATTAAAAGTGCGAAAGATTAGAGAACAATATTTTATTATTTACTTTTTTTACTGCCCGATCGATTAATTATCAAAATTGGCACATCCTGAGCCACTTGAAACCGGTTTGCCCAGAGCGCTGAAACCGGTTTTTTTTCTTTGTTTAGGTGACTTCGGCGAGGGCACTCGAGCAGGTTATCATCGACGTCGCGCCTTATCAATTCGAAAATAATGTATGGAAAAAAAATAAGAATGTTGCACTATTCCCATAGACGTCCAAACATCAGCAGCGAGCAGCTGGAGAGTGCGTGCACAGTTTATTGGACTCAGCAGAATTCCACATGGATTGATGTCTATTGCATAATACAATTGAAATTCATTTGCATATAGTATAAGAACATCGAAATTCACTCAGCTGACAACATCTATCAGTAAGGAACTCTCGAGGGGGTCATATACATATATAGCTGTACTTAATTTCATTTTTCGGAAAACAAATTTCGTTTATTTAAAGAAATTCTTTAGCGATTATAGTCGTCACAATAAAGAATATATTGAATCCAGTTTGAACCAGTTCTATTTCATGAATTTTGATAATCATTTTATTTTGGACATTTTACAATCTTATCTTTCAGGCAAAACAGCTGAATAACTGGGCGAGGGGGCCAAAGTAGGTCAGTGGTTTATCGGTCAAGCAAAAACTTTTCCCTTACTATTCTGTTAGTTTCGACGGAATTCCGTCTGATACAAATTCATTGAGAAATCGCTGGGGCTAAAGTTTGTTGTCAATTGGCGGAAAAGGAAGTCATTCTTAAATTTAATTAAAATTTAGAAGGAAGGAGCTCTTAATATAGTAATACATACTTCACCTGTGAGTATTATTATAGTTGGGAGTATTTATATAAATACCCGAGAGGAGCTAAGAATGTGCTATTTAGAAGGAGAGTTAGATGATACAATGAGATAAGTCTGTAAAGGCCTATGCAGCAGAGGATATCCCTGCCGGATGCTAAGAAGCGCACAATATAGCAAATGTCCTGGGGCAATGAGTATTAAACGAAATCGAATCAGATATATAAATAACATCAAGCTCATGATATATTTACTAGCTTGCTCCAAGATACAAGGTACATCTAATTTAATAAAATACTGATAAGACATAAATTCAACATATATAAAATATAAATTCATAATTAAATTAAAATACATAAACTCGTTATTTTGCTTAAAGCATTTTCAATCAATCGCCACGCCTATTTCTAGGCATACAACGAGCCAAATTGCATAAGCACTATCAGATAGGTAACCATGGCCGTGAAGATCTGCAGAAATATGTTAATTGAGAATAAATATTCTTGCTACAGATAGAACACACAACACCCACCGACATGAGCAGATTATAGTCAATATTCATAAAGCCCTGGGCGCTGATCGTCAAAGCATCCTGCTCCACTTGCATAGCGAATTCTGCAAGAACCGCAGTGTAGGCCAAGGGAGGCGGCACCGCCTGGCACTGTGCAGCACAGGCCAGACCCCTAACATGACCGCCTATAAGCATGTGCTATATAGATATAGATATAGATATAGATATAGATATAGATATAGATATAGATATAGATATAGATATAGATATAGATATAGATATAGATATAGATATAGATGTAGATACAGATATAGAATCACCTGTCGCTTGCAATACTCTCCACAATGGCAAAAGGTGAAGAGTAGTATAAGCAATGGCACAAAAGTTGAGCACGTCATGAAGATAAAGCCAAACTGATAGATCTTGATAAGCACTAGAAGTGACCAATATATATTGACGATGCTGTCGAGAAACATCACCACAAAGATGCAGACAATCGACCAGCCAAACAAATTGTTGTAGAGTTCAACCAGACGATAGAGCTCCATGTAGGCGCGCTTCAGACTCAGCAAATAGTCCAAGGAGCACATCTGATCAAATTGTGTGTCCAATATTGTCTGGGTGCCCAGCTGACGATAGCTGTGCAGGGCCTGAAGACGTTCATCCAAACGTTCTGCATGATAGCCCAAGAGGTCCACGTAGAGTAGCAGAAGGAGACATTGATATCGATTAACGATAACGGCGCCGAGCGAGTACCAAAAGTAGCCAATATAATCAACATTGAGAACCACGTATATAGAAGGAATAAATACGATGATATTGATGACGCCCAGAGCATAGAATTTAATATATCTGATCCAGGGCAAATTTCTGATCGGCTGCTGCAGTTCGCATTGAAAATGCAGACGCAAACACTTCAGCTGCAGACAGAACTCGTAGTATTTATTATACTGGCACATCACTTGCAGTTCAATAACTAAACAGAAATAAATATATTATATATACTATGAAGAGAGAGAGAGAGAGAGAGAGGAACAGTGAGAGAATTCAGATACACGCCTGTCATGGTAACAATTTGGGAGACAAACACAATGCAGCTGACCAGCAGTGAGACCAGAAGATCTCCCTCGGGCGGTTGAAAAATGATTTTGTAGCATGACACACCGATATTCGAGAGTATTATGATTAGCGTATAGATCTGTTGATAATGCTGTTTGGGCGAGTTTTCGGTCACCCACGGTACCAGGCCCAAGACGGCAAAATACTTGATATAGCGTTGCAGAGCGAATAACATGTTCTCCTGAGAATGTGTCAACGGTTACTACAGAGCTTGGCTAAAAATATTGACTCGAGCTATATTCGTAGATTAATCAAATTTGATATGTTCGCTAATGAAATGCAAAAATAATTAGCTAAAATGGAAAAAGTGTTACGCGCGAACAAAACAAATCAATTAACAAAGATAGTGTTTGGTAGAACTTTAAATTCTAATTTCGTGAATGGTCAATGTATATTTGCTATAGGTATGGGTTGGGTTTATATTGAGTGTTATTTAAGTATTTATTTTAAATATAAAACACTCACCAAATATCACTTGTTTCGCATTAGTCGTTGCTATAAATAGAA